CTGGTTTAACGGTCATACGCTTAGTGCCGTCTCTAAAGGTAGCGATACTCTACAAATATGTGAATCTTCATTTTCAGTCGTCAATGTTAAAGCTGTATTTAAGAAATGGTGAATGCACGTGCATACATGCATCTATTGGTCGATCCATACGAACTTGTCTTAATATTGCCCTGGGCAATATAATACAAATTAGTCCTTTACGGTTAAGAAAACTTGAAAGTATTCACCATGAAAGATAAGATGGCTGTAGTATTTAAAGGATAAAGAAGATCAATAATCTTTTTTGTCTGAATGTCGTCTAAATGGACTTACAATCATTGATAATCAATTTAACTTGCCAAGCCATGACTTGCATGATGCTCTGCATCAGCCTTTTAGACCGGACTTTACCAAATGCGGCTTGATCTCAGCTTACGTGTTTAGCCCCATTTATAGTGTTAGTATATACTCATATACAGGTGAATGAAACAATGATGAAACGCTGAAGCTGGATAGGATTTGGAGGAAACTGCACCGCGATTGGTGGCAGTGTCACCTTAATTTTTTTTTACGTTATCTTCTTCTAGTTTATGGTAGTCATAGAATTTAGGTTTCTGCCTTTTCGGTTGCTTGAATGTGGAAATGAATTTATGTTATGATGTGAAGACCGCCACTGGTCAAATCTTCTATTTGTCTTGATGCGAGCTCATCGATTGTTCTTCGTATAGGTATGCGAGTTGGTTAGCTGTTGCGGTTGCAGGAAATCATTTACGGAAATATACATAAGGGAAAATTGCGAGATGCGGTGAAAGTTTTATGAAGAAAATTTAGATTGCCTTGCTGCTACTATGTAATTTTAACAATGATATGGCCTTCACGTCTTCGAATCATTATAGCAAGAATATCATTCGCATGTTTTTCACGGCCATTCATAGCGAATCCGTGCTGAGAAAAGAATTGCATCTCGGTATTATATTTGTTGAAATAGGATTTTCCACTAAGGATGTGTCTTTGATGAAATGCACAAGCTGCGTACGACATATCAAGTAAGTTCATTTGATCCGCGTACACCGTGTATTGAACGGGGTACTTTTTTTACCTTTACTTTTTTCATGGTTAATTGTAATCAGGTTTTTACTAAGGTCTGCCCTCTACCCAAATTGAGATTAATGATTTTTGTGAACCTTGAAGTACTGGTAGCGAAAATATGGAGTTAGTTCTTGCTAACTCCTACACACTATTAAGAAATATAATCCCGTAGACTGCCACATGATGTCAAGTGGTCGGAATCGCCCTTCAAACGCTTTCCTGGAACGAAACTGATTGGTGTCAACGACCGCAAAAAGCTGTATGAAACGCGTTTAGACTCGAATGCTAGTCATTGCATTTGCCTATGAAGTGACCTCAAAATGACCTTTAAATGTCCTAATAATGGCTAAATTGTCTCTATTTCGGACCAGATAAATCTAAATGACATGTGACTAGAACCAGTCCAGTGGAAGTGTCCCTGTGATGACCTTGAAGTGACCTTCAATCATCTACTCAAAAAGCTCTGCTAAATAGCTTATAATGCCATAAAAATCGTTGTTTTTCGGTGTTTTGACTCAATCAGTATGACCTACTGTAATGTCTGAAAAGTACGCGAACACCCCGGAAACTGATCATTCACGCTTTTTTTTAAAAAAAACGGTACCAGTTTGTGGAGCAATCTACCTGTTGAAGCTTTTCCCAGTTCTGTTAAGCTTAGGCAGTTCAAAAATCGGATCTTCATGGTGTCCTTAAGCTTCTAATAAAAGTCGCAATGCCCCGGTGTTTAGGTTTCTGTGTGGCTGCTTCGGTGGGAAAATGAAATAAGAAAAGCTTCAGGAGAGCAATTTGTCGATGACCTCAAATATGGCCTAGAGGCTGACCTCGAACGATACAGAAGGTGGTATGAAAATGTACTCTGATGTAGAATCTGCTGTCAAGATGGTGACTGCTATCTGAATTTATAAACTTGACCCCTAAATGAGGTTATTGCCTAGGTGATATCTGAGGTCATCGACAGCTTGATATCCTAAAACTTTTTTTCTAACCTTTCTGCTACAAAATCCGTGGTTGTCAAGTTTTCGGAGTATTCGGGTATTCAATATAAATAATGGCATATATGGGCCTCTCAACCTCATACGTAACACATTAAATGTTAGTGAGTAGTAGAGAAAAAGCTAAGCGATATTACTTTTTTACATGTTTTATGAGGTTCATGAGGGAGTATTCTTAATACTTTTCGTCTGATTGTTTCATGATATGTATGTGACTCATATATAATATTTATATTTTGTTGCACTTGTTTAGCAATTCCAATCCGTTTACAAATAATAGTACTGTACTGAAATTTTATGATAATATTCCACATTTATAGTAGATTACTTTTGGTTGATTTTTTTAAAATGATTTTGGTTTCTTGAAAAAACTGAGTTTGTTAGAAAAAGAAATCGCTTACATTATAGCAAAAGAGCAGTACAGATCATTGCACAATTTTAATTACTTACACCAATTTACTATAAACGTGTCACATACACATACAGTGCTGTTGTATGATTTGATATTCAGGGTGGCGCATCAAAACCGAAACAGACGCATTTACTGGCAGCTCAGTGTTTTTTTGGAAAAACGCTCAGACCCGTCGATTTTGTTTTCGAGGGGGACACAAGTTTGGCAAAAAATCACGTTAACACGTGCAGTCCCCTGGGCGGGGGTGACACTAACCCTAAAATCTTAAATGGAAAGGGGGGTCGAGTGATACCTTATTTTAAAGGTCTTTCAATTCCCTTTGTAATGTTGTAAAATACATGAGCTTCAGTTCAGTAGTTTTGAAGATTTATTGATTTAAAGCTTAAAGTAGACTTTAATAGGTACATCAGATTAGTTTGTACTACTTTCAGAAGAAATTTGAATAAAAGGATTTACTTAATATGTAAATGATTTTCTTCACTACGCCCATGGTTTATTTATCATTTTGTTGATGAAAATAGCTATTGGAGCGTTTTTTTCTGGCAAAAAAGTTATTTCTTGAAGAAAGATAATGAAATATCTTGTACTTATTTTGAATAGGAATTCAGTACAAAGTTTGCGATTGATTTGACCAAACTTTGTTGCTAAAATAACTTGTAACGCTTTATTACATAAATTAACCATGGTATATTCCACAGCAGAAAGAGTTGAAATTATCGAAATATTTTTCGGAAATAATCAGTGCGCTAATAGAACAGCAGAAATATTTGATGAGCGACATGAGAACAGTAACGTCCATCGAAAATATGTTCTAGAACTTGTAGCTAAATTTCGGGAAACTGGGTCAGTCGCCAATAAAAAACGCAGCATTGAAGATCCCATAAGGAACGAAGCACGGGCAAGTTTATGTAGATCCTACGATAAGTACCCGCAAATTGGAGACTGTGTGTGGTGTTAGTCGACGTACTGTCCAACGGATTCTAAAGCCCATAGTTTTCATCCGTATAAAATTCACCTGGTACAAGAACTTAATGAAGACGATTTTGATCGGCGATTACAATTTTGTGAAGATATGAGTGAACGAATTATAAACGATGAACATTTTCTATTCAACACTTGCTTTTCTGAAGAATGTTCCTTTTTCTTAAATGGCGTAGTAAATCGTCATAACTGCCGATATTGGTCCGATTCTAGTCCCAGAATTTATCATGAGGTTCGTACACAGCAGCCAGAAAAATTAAATGTTTGGACTGGTATTTTTGGCGATCATTTAGTTGGTCCTTTTTTCTTACCTGGAAATTTGACCGGTGAAATATATTTGGAATTACTGGAAGACGCCATAGATCCTGCATTAACAGCCATAATTGAAAATCAGAATGATCGCCGGTACATTGCGAATAGGTTGATGTTCCAACACGATGGTGCCCCACCACATTACGCATTACGTGTTCGACAATATTTAGATCAGACGTTTCCAGATCGATGGATTGGTAGAGGAGGTGCCATTGAATGGCCCCCAATATCGCCAGATTTATCACCTTTGGATTTTTTTATGTGGGGTCATTTAAAAAGCAAAATCTATGCTACTCAGCCTACATCATTAGAAGACCTGCGACAAAGAATTGTAAATGAGTGCCTTCAAATTACTCTTCAAATATTGCGAAATGTGCGGCAACGTTTTGAGCAAAATCTTTATTATTGCATGGAGAGTCATGGTGGCCATTTTCAACATTTACTTGCCTAACGGGTCAGTTCATTCTTCATTTTTAAATTACTTTGCTGCCAAATGTATTGATCTCCACTAATGATGATGTATTAGTTTTATTTAAGCTCGATTTAATAAATCTTCAAAACCACCGAACTGAAGTACATTTTAATCTTATATCATTATAAAGGGAATTGAAAGACCTTTAAAATAAGGTATCACTCGACCGCCCTTTCCATTTAAGATTTTGGGGGTGGTGCCACCCCCGCCCAGGAGGCTGCTAACGTGATTTTTTGCCAAACTTGTGTCCCCCTCGAAAACAAAATCGACGGGTCTGAACGTTTTTCAAAAAAAAACTGAGCTGCCAGTAAATGCGTCTGTTTCGTTTTCGATGCGCCACCCTGTATATAACATTAGTCATATTTTTTCTTTTACATAAAACGAAATGTTCATTTGATTTTACGCATTTCCTGTTATTGAGTCCACATGTACCTGTTGGAAATAAATGTCTATCAATCTAAGAGTTGCGATCTCCACAAAATTTTTGACAGTAAAACATTTGATAATATTGTTTACCAGTCATCTCTATAAACACCATGGAACAATCAGTCGAAAAGTATTAAGAAGAGTACTCTTTCAAACAGAATGTTGAAGAAAAGGGATGTGCGACCTTAACTTTTGGCAAATTATACGTAGTTACAAGAAGGAAAGGCCAGTCATATTGGAAAAAAAAGCCTCAAGTTGATATAATTATAGGTCGAAAAAATTGACTCATCTCCTTTGAACTATTTGCCGCAGAACTAACCTAACGTTATTTTTTCAGACCCCCAGCTGCAGTCGCAACCCGGCTACCGCTCCGAAGTCCAAGAGCGCGCCCTTGTCGTCTCCCTGCAAATGTTTAGCTTGATCCTGGAACGGTGCGTGGCCATCCTGCGCGAGCACCTGGCGACCCGCCCTAATACCGAGGGGGCGGTCGATTCAGAGGGCGCCGCTCCTTGTTCGACGCCCCCCCACGCGCTGCCGCCCGATGTTGACGTATTGCTGCCCGCGGTGAAAGTGTGGTGCGATTGGCTGTTGGGACATGCCGCGGTGTGGAACCCCCCGCCTAATACGCAGGATTTCAGAGTCGGGTGAGAAAAATTTTCATTTTTTTTAAACAGTTATATGAAGTGCCGTGTGCTCTCGATAGAAATATTGCAGTGGTGCCATTATACCCAGACGCATTAACTACCGAATTTTCCGCTATCCTCCCGGATTAAAAAATTGGTTTTCAGACGAATGTTGTAGACAGTTTTCAACGACAGTTCAATGCGACAACAAATAATTCCTGTTTATTTATTGTCATTGAAAATACCCCATAGTTGCACAAGTGCCATCTACCAGAATCGAGGGAATAGCATAAATATCTGTTGGGAATGTAAACAGGGATAAATTTAAGTGAAAGTATGTCCATGACCTTGACCGTGACCATCGAGATCATTTGAAGATCAAGTGAACTTTTAACAGGAAACATCTATTTTTAATTCCCGGAATGCAAATTGTGGACAGTTTCATGTTCAAGTATATCCTTGTCAATGAAACTGACCATAGCTTTCAAGGCCGTTTTAAGATCAGATAAATTTTCAAGTAAGAAAGTTTTCCTATGTAATCAGCCTATCCAATCGATGTAGCTGGTAATGATCATGATTAAATTTCACCTCAGCTAAGAATTAAATAAATTCTAATCAATATCTGATAAATTTAAAGGGTTTTAATAGCTATATACGAAATTTGGCAACATCTTGCTCTGACATTTCAGGTGGCACAGCTATCATTCCTCGATGTTTGTGTTCTGTCATAGTCACCATTTTACCATGGAGCGCTACACTGTTCGAGTACGCGTCGTAATTGTTAAAATCTATTATATATAAAAATTCGTGTTCTATTCGTCAAAGAGACGGTTTGGTTGTTGATCGAGCAGTTCCTGTGACCTCAATTTGGAGAATTTTACGAAAAGACTTGGGCAGGTATCCATATAAGATCCAGTTGACGTAAAAACTGAAACCGCAAGACCACCAAGCGCATCGTACCTTCGCTGATTGGACTCTGGAACAGTTGGGAGCGGATCCAAATTTTGGCGGAAAAATAATTTTTAGTGATGAAGCACATTTTTGGTTAAACGGCTTCGTGAATAAACAAATATGTCGCATATGGGGAGACATTAATCCACAACAGTATCAAGAGTCTCCATTGCATCCGGAAAACTTATTTTTTGGTGTGGGTTTTGATCAGACGGCGTCATTGGACAGTACATCTTCCGAAACGAGAATGGCGAGACGGCGACTGTCAACGGTGCCCGGTATCAGGCCATGATAACTGACTTTTCATGGCCCCAATTGGATGATATAGACCTGAACGACACGTGGTTCCAACAAGACGGCCCAACGTGTCACAAATTAGTCATTACATTGCAGTTGTTGCAATAAAAGTTTCCAGGACGCGTTATTTCCAGAATGGGCAATGTGGAATGGCCGCCAAGCTCGTGCGACTTAACGCCCTTAGACTTTTTTCTTTGGGGTTACGTTAAGTCGTTGGTTTATGGCAACACACCAACAGCAATTCACCAACTGAAGAACAACATCATTCAAACCATTGGTGAGGGCCAGCCCGACTTATGCAGCAGAGTTTTACAAAACTGAACCGCTCAGATCGAGTCCTGTAAACGAAGCCGCGGAGGCCATTTGAATGATGTAATTTTGACAACGTTATGATATTGAATATACTTTAATACGCAATTAAAGTTTCCATCATGTAGTATGTCGCACACAACTCGTTGTATTCAATTTTAAATTTCAGACATACTTCTGATCTGCTACTGAATGTCAACAGAATTGACACAAGAGATCACTTAGTTGAACATATGCGTATCGCAAAAATACATTTTTATCTATACATTCTCGATGCATATCCATTTGGGCCTGAAGAAGCCAATAAGCAGAAATGTACATCGCTCGGGTTACCAATCCTACAATCTTTTAGCTGATTAAATTGCTTATTTTAGAATAACGACAATATTTTATTTCAGATCACCTGGGGATGCATGGAGCAGGTTAGCAATCCTTATGAACCTCTTAGAGATGGTTGATCAAAGTACGACAGGACAATTTGTCAAAGAAGAACAAAAAGGTTAGTCATGCTTTGGTTTTTTCAGTTTCAGAGCCCAGTTACTACGTGTGATGCAAGTATTATTATTTACAATATTTTTCGAAAATAATGGTTTGTCTTATAGTAAAACGTCGTAAGTTTTAAAATTGACTTCACCAGTATATTTAGAATGATGTTCTCACGGGCTGTAGTATTACAAAAAAAAACTCCTTCTTTTTATAATTCATTTCGGAGATCCTGCAACCTCAGCCTGCAACCAATGATTACACGTTGTGGCAGACTCTGGTCCCATTGAAATTTTCATGGTACAATCAGTGAGGCGAATTTTATAGCGTCCCATCGTTATTTATTGAATATTAATTTCGGCGATGGTACCTGATACTCCGTGGTGTAGACACGCCTCTCCAATTTCGCAAATTCGTGTTGATAGCAATTGGATCTTGGATTCACTTTACGTCATGCATTCAGGAACAGAACACATTTGAGTCGTTCAAACAAATCGACGTTGTTATCAAAATTCAGTAATTTTAACCAAAATGCAGACAGGTGCAAACTAACTATTCATTTACTGAGGGACTTTTGGGACGTAAAATGCTCCATGGCAAAAAAATATTTCCACATTTTCCGAATATACTCGTAGATCTTTACCGCAGCTGATCTACAAGTTGAGATATGACAAAACATTCTGAACTTTACAATTGATTACTTAGGACTTAGGTAATTCAAATACATTTTAGAGGATAATAATTTTATTTAAGGTATGCAGGGAGATATGGCGTGAATTGGCTGTAAATTACAACTTTTACGTTCTAGAAAAATTTGGGATACGTCTTATTTCACAATGCCAAAATATTGGCATTTCGTTTCTATAAAAGGCGTATTTCTGAAAAAAGTATTATTTTTGTTCTTAATATAGCTAAAATGAATCGTATATATCCATTTTCAGCGATGCTACAGATGCAACTTTACGTTTGAACTTTTTAAAGTTGATTTTGCTATTTCCTTTCATGGAAAAAATATAACACTCAGAATATACTGCTGGAGATAAAATACTGATATGACTTCGGAATAATATTAATGCCCCATTGTTGGATCTTTTCCGTTTTTCAGTTGTTACAACTTATGAAATTGAAGTAAATTTTGTCTGAAGCGTTATCGAATAGAAATTTCTCCTTTCCTTTTATCGTAAAAGTAGTTGCAAGCTCTGTGGAACAACATGAATCCATGTTTTTCTGAGCATATTATTTAACGAGGTCAAAATAGCAGTTTAAAATTAATTGATGTATTTGTAGAGGGTGCAATCAAGGATGACACATATTTATATCTTATTGACACAGGTCTGGCTTATATTTCACAGTCTGTATACATCAGTAAGGATTAAGCAATTAAAAACCTTTCATTCGATTCTGAAGTACACTATGCTAACCTGTAAAAAGTTATGCCTGACGATGTTTTGGTATCCACAACGGATCGCCAACACAAGGCACCATGATTATTTGCAACAGCACTATAGGACGATGTGAATGGTGTACGAAAAAAGAATATTTACCAGAAAAACCTGGCAAACTTGTTTAAAACATAAACCTAAATCACTTTGTCAGATTTGTACCGTAAACATCTTGGTCTGACTTTGTGACCAAAGATATTATGAGCTTCTATATCAATGGACGCAGTAGTAGTCCGAAGGATGGAGGTTATAGATTAGAATTGCTAAAGACAAGTCCACATATTGTTTTCCAGGTTACGTCCAGATTCGACTTCCAGAAGACGCCGTCCTTCGCGGTTTCACCCCTCTGTCCTACGCCGCTGCCCGAGAACCTACCTTCGCGCCCTCCATCCTGGACACAGAGGCTGCCAGGGCGGCACTACGCGTTCAAAGGCTCCTGTTCTTCGGTACCGTCTATCTGTGTGGAGTGGAACCGCCGGTGCTCAGGTTGGAGATTGAAGATGGAGGTAGAAGGGAGTATGTGTCCACTGTGGATGAAGACGGTGATAACAGGAGAAGAGGGAGGGGTGATGAGGATGATGAAGAGGAAGAAGAAACGGTGACGGTGAGTGAAAACAGACGTGCCTTTTCAAACTCATATTAAGCTAAGATACTATTTAATAATGTAAGACAGACGTTGTGACATAGCTACTAGACTCGATGTCGTTCGACATATACAAAAGGTGCTTGCTGTTCCTTGCGTCTCATTCTGTCACGCCAGTCATCGTTCTTATCTACTACTCTAGCTGGTATTATACCTGAACGCTGTTATCAGCTATGCCTCATCAAGCCTCTCACCGAGACCCTCCGAAAACATCTGAAACGACCGAAGGGGAATGGTTAATTCACCGCCTCGTTCTGTTGCCTTTATTGGAATACTAGATATCCGCTCAGATTTATTTGAATCCCATTGAAAATCCCTAGATGTCTTCATATTTTCTTAGATATTCTCGGATTTCTTTGTACCCCTACCATATAAAATCGTAAGATCTACACCGTAATGAACCATGGTTTATAATGGCGACAGAAACTTGTCATCTACTAATGTACAGATACAGAAATATATCATATCATTACACTGCTTCTGATCTTCGATTGTCTCGGATCTCCTGCCATGAGATAGAACATCTTGTTTTGCCTCAGATTCCCTCTTACTTGAAAAAATCTCATTGGCTTCACCTCCCTCTGTGAGTGTACCCTTCTGTTTCCAGACTTCTTGGCGCTGTCGAAAGCCACGTGGTGATTGCCATATGCCTCGCTCCCGACGCCTAAGGTCCAAACGTGTTTTGATACCGAACTTGAGCGACCGTGAACCTCCCTGTCTTTCGATAACGTTAGAGGTAAACTCACGACAGCACGTTCAGATGGAGGCAATTTTTCGCTTGAGTTGGGATACGTACAAACCTAATCCTTAAGACAGTACTTTGACCCAATTCCATGCGACCGTGACATAAATGTCAAAGCAGTGCAGGACATTTCCGTCTCAGCCATATTACCCCTTCTAGAATTCATTTTTGAAGGTTGATACTTCTGATCTTAGAGTTTTCTTTAATTTCCTTCATCTTTGTTTCCTCATGGAAGGTAGATCCCAAAAAGCTGGCCAACTCAAAATACAACGCCTTACGTTACTCAAATAAGACAACCTCCTGAGACTAGAAACGCTATTTTCTTTTCAGAATTGTAACGATGATGTTCTACTAGAAAGTATCAGCGGGGAAGAAGACGAGGCGGAAGAAGTACCAATCACGTCAAATACATCGACTGCAGTTAGAGACCTACTCACCAGGAAAGTAGAACTGGAGAAACGGAAAAGGAATCAAGAGCTACACATGCAGAGAGTCCAGGTAAGATGACTTGGACTATTTTCCTCGTTTTAATTTCTACCAGTCACAAACCCGCAATTTTGAATTACAAATGGTTTCTAGATGGAAAAATTGTATGTCACTGTACCTGTCAGTAGTTTTTAGAGTTTACCCGGGGCAAAAAAATTACAATACCTTTGATAACAAGTAATTAGGGTCTCCTAGAATACCAGAAAATGATTTTACTGATTTTATTGTCCATATGACATATGACATAGTCTTGTCAAATACCATTCGGGGATATAATTTTTTCCTGTGAAGAAAATCGAAAAAACAACGTACAGGTGCAAAAATCCTATTACTTAGCAACGTGTTTTTCGATTTATTTCGGAGAAATTAGATGCCTATATGATATTACTTTGAAAGTCTCGTTATACAGGGTTATCCCATTAGTAACTTTGTTATTAGTGAAAATACAAAGTTGTTTGAATTAGCAAACTAGTAGCATTTTTAACGCTGGTAAAAATGAGAAATAAAAAAAAACAATTGAGAGTCGTTATTTTTCAGTAAAATAACATTTTTTTAAATGGAAACCCCTGTATATTATATTTTTTTCTGTTAAAGCATCAAATTTTAAACAAAAAAGCTTACAATAACTTTTCTCCTAGGTTACAAATTGTTGAAGTTATGGCCTCCAATCTGAAACAATTAAATTGTATCGACAAACTTTATTTTCAACATCAACTTATAATCTTACAAAATACAATAACAATTTTTTTTAAAGAAGATGCTCGAAAACACCACCTTGTTCTTCAATACATTTTTGGGCACGTTTTTCAACTGCTCGAACTGTCTTAAGTATGGTCCTACCATCTATCTGGGTTATCTTTTCCCTAACTGCAGTCTTTAACGCGTCAAGGTTATCGTACCTTCGCTTGTAAATTTGGTTCTTTAAGTAACCCCACAAGAAGTAATCAAGTGGGTTTTAGATCTGGTGATCTGGGAGGCCACTGTATTGGGCCATTTGTTCCTATCCACTGATCATTAAAAGTAGTACTTAGAAAATGATAAGTACCTCTGGAGCTGTGGGCAGGTGCGCCATCTTGCTGAAAATGCAGATGACGTCTACTTATAAGATCCAATTCGTCTAAGAAATTAGTCAGAATTTCTGACATAAATTCCACATATCTTTCACCAGTTAGGGTTCCCTCATAAAAGAACGGGCCAACAATTTTTGAACCAATTATACCGCACCAAACGTTGAAACTGAAACGGACTTGTGGGCCTCTTGGATGTACTAACAAAAGATTTTCTCTTGACCAATAATGGTGGTTTTTTCTATTAAACATTCCAGAATTTGAAAAATTTGATTCATCTGTCCATAAAAGGTAACGAAAGTTATTTACATTTTGGCGACAGAAGCTAAGATACCAATGGCAAAAAACAAGTCTTCTCTCTGGATCCCCTGCCAAAAGCGTTTGAACTGGTCGGTACTTATACGGAATAAATTTGTATTTTTTTAAAATCCTTTGAACAGTACCATAACTGAAATTAGAGTCCTTGAGAATATCTGCTATTGAATTCTCACGATAAGCTTCAAAATATCCAATAACTGCAATTTCCGTGGCCTCGCTTATTATGAATTCTTTTTTTGCCCTTGTTTTAGCAAAAACATTTTCGTTGCCCCTAAATTTTCGATAAAGTCTCAGAAAATATCGTTCATACGGTTGAATGCGAGCGGGATATAATTCACTGTAGTATTCTCTTGCTCTCAAGGAGGATTTTCTGCACACTAAATAGCATTCTAACATATCACACTTTTCTTCATGGGAGAACATTTTTCTTTAAATTAATGACACAATAAAGCTTATAAACAAGTATTTACACTAATGTTTGACATTATTTGATTTTATCATTGTTTTCCAAAGCCTTCTAGTTGCGAGTATGTCCAGTTTAACAATTTGTCGCTTATCTTAATGCTGTCAAATCGCGAACGCCATGTTGTTTTCATAGCCGTCTTAATATTATAATACTGCAAATAATTAAAAATATTTATCGTTATTTTGACTTTATTTTTGACTTTAGCGGAAAAGTCATTATGAACTTTTTTGTTTAAAATTTGATGCTTTAACAGAAAAAAATATAATATACAGGGGTTTCCATTTAAAAAAATGTTATTTTACTGAAAAAAATCAAAATAACGACTCTCAATTGTTTTTTTTTTTATTTCTCATTTTTACCAGCGTTAAAAATGCTACTAGTTTGCTAATTTAAACAACTTTGTATTTTTACTAATAACAAAGTTACCAATGGTGGACACTTAATTTGGATAACCCTGTATAGAGGATGTTACTTAGTGATAGGCCGTATGTACAAGTGCGTTTTTCTGAACCAAACTCAACATATGTATTTGTCATAAAAAGTCTGATATATAAGATATAGGGTATCAAACTTAAAAAAAGCTTTTTATTAATATCAAATAATAGCAAACTGGCATAAAAAGTTAAAAATATATGCATAACAACCGAATATTTCAAAGTTGATTTTACTTCATTTTACCCACACATGGACATGGAATGAAGTTATTTAAATTTTAGATCCTTAAAAATGAAGATACAAGAAACAGAAAAGTAATTTGCTGCTAAATCCGAAATGAGATATATATTTTATAATCAGTTTCGTACATGTTTTTGTCAATATTATTCGTGAGATTGCCCCCCGAAACGCCACTGGACTTCATAATTATTTTCTAGTTAGTGCTAACTTGCAGTGCACAACTTTGTCAAGATCAAAAGCGGCGCAAGCATCTTTGAGATAATAAAGAAATGTTTCTTTTAAGGGTGGAAAACCAACTTTTCAGAACAGATGTTTATGGACTTTTCTATTCAATTTTAATTCGAGAATGCGCCCTTGTAATTACTACCTACATTTAAGTATGACCCTGTATAATTTGATGCTGAAAAAAATTACAAACGACCCGGCTGCTATTCTTATCATGAAACAAAAAAGGTTTCTAATGATGGATAGTTGACACTGTTTGTAGAGAACCCACTTAGACTTCATCATTTTTTGAATGACAACAAAACACGATTTTCAGTCGTTTATTTTAGACTTTAATATTTGGTTCTGCCGTACCTTAGACCCTTACGTCGTTCCTCTACCTCCAACACAAAATACAAAAAGTTATTCAAAAACAATATTTTTTTAACGACGTTCTTGTTGAGAGCAAATTCCGGAACATAATCATGAATTCCATCTCATTCGTTCTGCCTGCTTTGACCCTGCAAAAGCGAGGAGCATTGCCCGCGGTTTGTATTCGGCGTGCCGCAACAAACAAAAATAAAACCTGGTCCAGTTGGAGAATTGCATAACGTTTCACAAATACACCTGTCAAAAAAAATGTATAAAAGGATCACGCAGGCCGCTTGAATTTCAATGCGGGTCGATAAATAACCGTTGGCGTGGGAGGTGGTCCGTCTTGCTCTCGACAGAGGTCGCAGCGGTGTTGCCAGATAGAGGAAGAGAATCAAGAGTGGTTACTTGTGTATTGAGTGCAAAGCAGTATCTCAGTTATTTTGAGTATTCAGTTGTAAAACATACAGGGTGCTCATTTGAAAACTTCCTACCGCGGATTTATCAAAAACCACTGATCAAAAGGAAAAACGCCTAACACGTCAAAAGATTTGTCAAGGGGACAACTTTTTAAACCAAAAACAACTTTACCCCCTTTCCCTTCTGCCCCCAGGGTCAAAATTTTAAACGACAAGAGTAATAGCGTGTTTGAAAGGTCTTTCGAAGTCCTTTGTTTTAACCTTTGATTTTTTAAAATCGGTCGATTCAGTTTTAAAGAAAATTAGAAAAACCTTTATCTTAATTTTGTTCAGATAGAAAACAAAAACACGCAGAAATATCACTTTCTATTTCAATAAGTGTTCAAAATGTTACTGTTATTGGCCAAACAATGGTATAGGCGATGTTCAAATTCCTGACGGACATTTTCAAAAACATGTCGGATATCATGGCAGCTTTCGATGATGCGTTGACCAAATTCATCCAAACTTTCAGGTTGGGGAGTAAACACAATAGATTTCAAATGGCCTCATAGAAAAAAGTCTAATGAGGTCAAATCAGGAGATCTAGAAGGCCATGCTATAAGCCCTTTTCGCCCTAACCATTTATCTGGAATCTCGTCGTCCAGCCATTGCCGAACTGGAAGAACATAGCGAGGAGGAGCGCCGTCTTGCTGGAAATATATTTCAGCCTCATCAAGTATAGGGTTTTCATCATCTTCGATTTGGTATTCAATGGTTTCAGTGACAAGCGTATTGATGGTATTTTCCAACATGTCCAAATAAATGTCTCCATTCAAATTTCCATTAATAAACAATGGCTCAATCGCTTTGTTTTCTAAAATACATTAATTTTTTGTTGTACTGAGTATGCCCATCTACAAAAGCATGAGGATCTTCATTGCTCCAATACCTGCAGTTATGCTTATTGACAAATCCATTTAGATAAAGTGTGCATTCATCACTGAAGCAGATATTCTTTACAGCATTGGTATTATCATTATCCGCTGCAGTCATTTGTTCACAAAAGTCCACTCGCCTATCGAAATCATTTGCGGTTAACTCTCGCAATATTTTCATTTTGAATGGAACACATTTATGGAGTTTAGTAATTGTGTGTACAGAGCCTAATGAAATACCAGTCGCAGCAACAATTTTGCGCAATGAAGTATTAGGATTCATTCCAAAATGAGTGAAATATTCAACTTGAGCGACTTCATCCAACACTCTCCGATGATCACGTTTTCTATTTGCAACAGATCCAGTTTGAGTAAATTTAGTAACGAGGTCCAAAACATACCTATGCGGAGTTATGTTCCCCGGATGTCTGGCATTAAACGTGACGGCAGTTTGAAGAGCACAGTGATTTTGGTCACCATGATTTAGAATCATTTCCACTCTTTCGGCTAGTGTGTAAACCATGTTGGAAGTAAAATCTGAATCAATAAATTAAATTATTTCTTTCCCTTAGCA